TTTAGTACCGGTTCGTGGCACAAACCGGTACTAAAGGTTAGCCCTTTAGTACCGGTTTGTGCCACGAACCGGTACTAAAGGTGATCGTGGGGCCCCAGCCTAATGCCAGCCTGCCATCACCCCTTTAGTACCGGTTCGTGCCACGAACCGGTACTAAAGGTTCAACACGAACCGGCATTAATGCATAGTCATTCGAACCGGCACTAATGGTACCATTAGTGCCGGCTCAAATTCAAACCGGCACTAATGTGCTTCATGTTTGACCCTTTTTGTACTAGTGTCCTGACAAGGAGAGAGACCTTAATGAGTTCAGTATGTCGCCAAATGGCGATTGCTGAAAAATATCCGCGGAGGTAAACTCCATGATCGGTGCCCAATCGGATTCGCTAGGAATGGGCGCAGGCGGTTCGGAGCCCGTGGCCGGAGAAGGATCCGGCAGTTTAACAACACGGCTCTCGTGCAGGGTAAGGTCAATGTACGGCTTGATTGCCGATGATGATAAGGCTTCCGTGGCGGGGTCTATCCACCCGTCCATGGAAGGCGCAACTGGCTCCGAATTGAGGGTCGGAGCGGCTGCCGGTGCGATCTCCTGAACACTGTCTGATGGTAGAGCTAAATCGTACTCATCGTGACCGCGTGACGCACAAGGCAGAGGCTCGAATCTGTCGAAGATCAAGTCTCCGCGGATATCGGCCGTGTAGTTTAAGCTTCCAAACCTGACCTGGTGGCCAGGGGCGTAACTTTCGATCTGCTCCAGATGGCCAAGTGAGTTGGCCCGCAGGGCGAAGCCGTCGAACACAAAGATCTGTCCGGGGAGAAAAGTCTCACCCTGGACTGCATCGCTATCGAAGATCGTAGGAGCCATCAAGCCTAATGGCGACGACACAGAGGAACTCTCAATGAAAGCACCAATGTCGGTGTCAAAACTGGCGGATCTCGGGTAGGGGGTCCCGAACTGTGCGTCTAAGGTAGATGGTAACAGGAGGCAGGGGACACGATGTTTTACCCAGGTTCGGCCCCTCTTGACGGAGGTAAAACCCTACGTCCTGCTCAATTTATTCTTGATGACATGGGTATTACAAGAGTTGATCTACCGCGAGATCGGAGAGGCTAAACCCTAGAAGCTAGCCTATGGTATGATTGTATGTTATTGTTCTGTCCTACGGACTAAAACCCTCCGGTTTATATAGACACTGGAGAGGGTTAGGGTTACACAAGGTTGGTTACAAAGGAGGAGATACACATATCCGTATTGCCTAGCTTGCCTTCCACGCCAAGTAGAGTCCCATCCGGACACGAGACGAAGTCTTCAATCTTGTATCTTCATAGTCTAACAGTCTGGCCAAAGGATATAATCCGGCTGTCCGGAGACCCCCTAATCCAGGACTCCCTCAGCTGGCTCAATGGCTTTATACGAATGAGCAGTTTTTGATCCCTCTGATCCTGTTCTGGATCCAATATGGAGACAAGGTATGTTCGTAATTCCCTTCATGACTCGTTTAGGAATAACGGATTCGTGGGGTGGTTGGAGTATTTCAGGAGGAATTGTAACAAATCCGGGTATTTGGAGTTATGAAGGTGTGGCAGGTACGCATATTGTGTTTTCTGGCTTGTGTTTCTTGGCAGCGATCTGGCATTGGGTATATTGGGACCTAGAAATATTCTCTGATGAGCGGATGGGAAAACCCTCTTTGGATTTTCCCAAGATCTTTGGAATTCATTTATTTCTTGCAGGGGTGGCTTGCTTTGGCTTTGGGGCATTTCATGTAACGGGTTTGTATGGTCCTGGGATATGGGTATCCGATCCTTATGGACTAACTGGAAAAGTACAAGCTGTAAATCCAGTGTGGGGTGCAGAAGGTTTTGATCCTTTTGTTCCGGGGGAAATAGCTTCTCATCATATTTCTGCGGGTACATTGGGTATATTAGCGGGCTTATTCCATCTTAGTGTCCGTCCGCCTCAACGTCTATATAAAGGATTACGTATGGGCAATATTGAAACTATACTTTCCAGTAGTATCGCTGCTGTTTTTTTGCAGCTTTCGTAGTTGCTGGAACTATGTGGTATGGGTCAGCAACGACCCCAATCGAATTATTTGGGCCTACTCGTTATCACTGGGATCAGGGATACTTTCAGCAAGAAATATATCGAAGAGTTAGCAATGGTTTAGCCGAAAATCTTAGTTTATCAGAAACTTGGTCTAAAATTCCCGAAAATTAGCCTTTTATGATTATATTGGTAATAATCCGGCAAAAGGGGGATTATTCAGAGCAGGCTCAATGGACAATGGGGATGGAATAGCTGTTGGATGGTTAGGACATCCCGTCTTTTGAGATAAAGAAGGACATGAGCTTTTTGTACGCCGTATGCCTACTTTTTTTGAAACATTTCCGGTCGTTTTGGTAGATGAACAAGTAGGTGTAACGGTGGAGTTCTATGGCGGCGAACTTAATGGAGTAAGTTATGCTAATCCTGCTACTGTAAAAAAATATGCGAGGCGTTCTCAATTAGGGGAAATTTTTGAATTAGATCGGGCTACTTTGAAATCTGATGGTGTTTTTCGCAGCAGTCCAAGGGGTTGGTTCACTTTTGGTCATGCTACCTTTGCTTTGCTCTTCTTTTTTGGACACATTTGGCATGGCGCTAGAACATTGTTCCGAGATGTTTTTGCTGGTATTGATCCAGATTTGGATGCTCAAGTGGAATTTGGAACATTCCAAAAAGTGGGAGATCCAACTACAAGGAAACAGGCAGTCTGATACACATTGTTATAGTATCTTTCACCTCTCTTTTTTGATTTGACATGGGAAACATCTCCCATCCTTTCTTTGACTCTTTTTCTTCCCAAATGAGATGGGAGAATTTTTTTTGATTCTGAATCCAGCAGCGGCTGATTGAAATTGAGAGAATAAGCTAAATAATTTTGACTTCACTTTTTTTGATTCTGAAATCGCCGGAAATACTAAGCCTACTAAAGGCACGAAAATAGAAGGTAAGTTTAAATCCGTCATGGAATAGGTGTCTCAATTCAAATTTACTATTTCTATCTAGTCGAAAAATATCTTAAGATTCTTATGATATACTTAAGTATATCTATTATAAGGAATATTGACTATTGTATTGTATTTTTTATTTTTAGTTTGAAAAATATTCTGTAAAAAAATGAAAGGATAATAAGAAAATTCCAAAAAAGGAGAACTAATTAAAAAGATTTTATTTTTATTTTCCCATCCTCATGGCCTTTCTATCTTTCTAATCTAATTTGAAATTGGATTCAAAAGAAAGCGGTTAGAATTTACTTCCTACATACATACTTCTCTAGAAGCGCATACAATAATGCGTGGTAAAGGCGGAAAAATAGTATATTCAATCAAAATCAAAGGGCAAATTATTTTACCTACAACAGATCCCCTACTACCCTCTTAGACTTTAAAAGGCGATATACCACCCAAAGAAAGGGTATGAAAATGCCGGGTGGAGTTAGCTTTTCGACGAAGACCCGTCCCGTGCAGCGAAGCCCTGTTAGTAAGACCCCCCACAATAATGGATTATAGAAGAATATTATTCCAAATACTCCTCTGGACGCATATAGTAGCATTGGGGTTCCGAATATTTTTTATTTATGAATATGAACAGAAAAAATTCATTGTATCGTTGGGTCGGAGCGGAGGTTTGGTCCAGAAAAATTAGAAACAAAACGTCTACTCTACCGCATTGAAGTCTATAGCGTTGTATTTGCACGAAAGTATAATTCTTACCATCAGGATACGATCCTTTCTTTCGAACTAAACGTCTCTACGATGGGTCCAGGTTCTATGTCCAATCCCAAATCAAGGATTTCTCGCTCTTGATTGGAGTCATAAACTAAAAAAACTACCTTTTATCCTTTTTCTCAAGGTTATAGAAAACTTTTTATCTAGTTCTAGCATTTTGAAAAAAATGCTTCTTTTTTACACACAGTTCGATTCACTTGTTGACTCACGATTACGCCTGCTAAAAGTTTCAAACGTCCTCTTTTTTGAAATTGAAAGAGAGTCCTATAAAAAGGTCTAACTTCCAAACTATGCCTTTTTTCATTCATTCTCCTTTAGTTTTTTTCTCTATCTAGAAGTGGAATAGAATAACCCGGTTGAAGGGTAATGATCATACGTCTGTAATGCATTGTATGGCCCAGAATAGGTCCTATTCTTCTACCTTTTCCAGGTAGTCCATGGCTATTCACAGCTACCACCTTAACACCAAAGAAGAGTTCGACCCAATGCTTTATTTCTGTCTTAGTGAATCCCGATTCGACATTAAAAGTATATTGATTCTTTCCCAATAAACGAAGACTTTTTTCTATAAATACTACATATTTGATTCCATTATCATTATCATACGATAATACTATATTTTATTATTTTATTATTTTATTTGTATTTCTTTATTGTATTATACCTTAATATATATATTCTAGATATATAGAATAGACGAATCTCGATTTGTCAAGTCTCATGATCATATCATGATCTACTTTTATTCGGCTCAATCTTTTTTAGAAAAAAAAGATTGAGCCGAGTTTAAATGCAATCAATTAGAAGAATAAAGAAGAATTACTACATTTCATAACTGATTTTTTTCTCTTTTTATTTCGTTTATGTTTTATTTATACCTTCTTTATCTTTAGTTTTATCTAGTTAATCAATAGTATCTACCGGCTCGAACTCGAATTTGATCGCCTTCCATACTTCACAAGCTGCGGCTAGTTCATGACTCCATTTGCAAGCTGCTCGGATAATTTCATTACCTTCGCGAGCAAGATCGCGCCCTTCGTTACGAGCTTGTACGCAGGCTTCTAAAGCCACTCGATTAGCTGCTGCACTAGGTGCATTTCCCCAAGGATGTCCTAAAGTTCCTCCACCAAATTGTAATGCAGAATCGTTCCCAAAGATTTCGGTCAAAGCTGGCATACGCCAAACATGAATACCACCTGAAGCTACCGGTATAACACCTGGCATGGCTACCTAGTCCTGAGTGAAAAAGATACTGCGAGCACGATCTTTTTCAATAAAATCATCGCGCAATAAATCAACAAAACCTAAAGTCATTTTGCGTTCCCCTTCTAACTTACCTACTACTGTACCGGAGTGGATATGATCTGCACCAGACATATGCAATGCTTTAGCTAATACACGGAAATGCATACCATGATTTTTCGGTCTATCAATAACTGCATGCATTGCACGGTGAATGTGAAGAAGTAGGCCATTGTCACGGCAATAATGAGCCAAAGTAGTATTTGCGGTGAATCCCCCAGTTAAGTAGTCATGCATTACATTAGGAACCCCTAATTCTCTTGCAAATACAGCTCTCTTAATCATTTCTTCACATGTACCCGCAGCCGCATTCAAGTAATGCCCCTTGATTTCACTGTTTTCGGCCTGTGATTCATAAATAGCTTCGGCACAAAAGACAAAACGGTCTCTCCGGCGCATAAATGGTGACTCCTACTCCCACCGAGAGTAGGATTCCCCCCTTCCCTAGTTGGACTAGGAGTGGAAGGAAGGGGGAGAGAGGGGGAAGGAAAGGGGGGCCAGCCCCCACCCAATCCGGATTGGGCTTGAGGGGGTGCACCCCTCCTAGGCCTCCCTCTCTTCTCTCCCAGTATGGCCCAATAAGGCCCACATAACTCTCGGGGGGTTCCGGTAACCTCCTGGTGCTCCGTTATATGCCCGAACTCACCTAGAACCATTCCGACGACCAAATATAGTCATCCAATATATCGATCTTTATGTCTCGACCATTTTGAGACTCCTCTTCATGTCCATGATCATATCCGGGACTCTGAACTACCTTCGGTACATCAAAACACACAAACTCATAATACCGATTGCCACCGAACGTTAAGCGTGCGGACCCTACGGGTTCAAGAACTATGTAGACATGAGCCAGACACGTCTCCGGTCAATAACCAATAGCAGAACCTAGATGTTCATATTGGCTCCCACATATTCTACGAAGATCTTTATCGGTGAAACCGCATAACGATCTACGCTGTTCCATTGTCATCGGTATGTTACTTGCCCGAGATTTGATCGTAGGTATCTCAATACCTAGTTCAATCTCGTTACTAGCAAGTCTCTTTACTTGTTCCGTAATTCTACATCCCGTAACTAAGTTATTAGCTACATTGCTTGCAAGGCTTATCGTGATGTACATTACCGAGAGGGCCCAGAGATACCTCTCCGACAATCGGAGTGACAAATCCTAATCTTGATCTATGCCAACTCAATAAACACTATGAGAGACACCTGCAGAGCACCTTTATAATCACCCAGTTACATTGTGACGTTTCGTAGCACACAAAGTGTTCCTCCGGTATTCGGGAGTTGCATGATCTCATAGTCATAGGAACATGTATAAGTTATGGAGAAAGCAATAGCAACAAACTAAACGATCATCGTGCTAAGCTAATGGATGGGTCAAGTCAATCTCATCATTCTCTAATGATGTGATCCTGTTAATCAAATGACAACTCATGTCTATGGTTAGGAAACATAACCATCATTGATTCAACAAGCTAGTCAAGTAGAGGCAAATTAGTGACACTATGTTTGTATATGTGTTCACACATGTACTAAGTTTCAGGTTAATACAATTCTAGCATGAATAATAAACATTTATCATGATATAAGGAAATATAAATAACAACTTTATTATTGCCTCTAGGGCATATTTCCTTCAGTCTCCCACTTGCACTAGAGTCAATAATCTAGATTACATTATAATGATTCTAACACCCATGGAGTCTTAGTGCTGATCATGTTTTGCTCGTGAGAGAGGCTCAGTCAACGGGTCTGCAACATTCAGATCTATATGTATCTTGCAAATCTCTATGTCTCCCTCCTTGACTTGATCGCGGATGGAATTGAAGCGTCTCTTGATGTGCTTGGTTCTCTTGTGAAATCTGGATTCCTTTGCTAAGGCAATTGCACCAGTATTGTCACAAAAGATTTTCATTGGACCCGATGCACTAGGTATGACACCTAGATCGGATATGAAGTCCTTCATCCAGACTCCCTCATTTGCTGCTTCCAAAGCAGCTATGTATTCTGCTTCACACGTAGATCCCGCCATGACGCTCTGCTTGAAACTGCACCAACATACAGCTCCACCATTTAATAAAAACACGTATCTGGTTTGTGACTTAGAGTCGTCCGGATCAGTGTCAAAGCTTGCATTGACATAACCATTTACGACGAGCTCTTTGTCACCTCCATATACGAGAAACATATCCTTAGTCCTTTTCAGGTATTTCAGGATATTCTTGACCGTTATCCAGTGATCCACTCCTGGATTACTTTGGTACATCCCTGCTAAACTGATAGCAAGGCACACATCAGGTCTGGTACACAGCATTGCATACATGATAGAGCCTATGCCTGAAGCATAGGGAACACCTTTCATTTTCTCTCTATCTTCTGCAGTGGTCGGGCATTCAGTCTGACTCAACTTCACACCTTGTAATTGTAACATCCCAAATTTTCAATTTGGAATGTTATACATTAGATCATCACTTCATATCATATTTTTATTTTCTCTTGTCCTGATCCAGAAATTCTACGCAACTCAAGGACCCACAGAGAGAGTTCGGGATTTCGTTATTTTCATATTTGGGCTTTCTCAAATTTTGAAAATAGGATCATTTGATTTGATTTATTTTATCTTCAATTATTTCTATTATACAAATATGAGAGAGGGAATAAAATGACTTCCCCAAAATAAAGAAATATTGAAGATTTAATAAAAAAATCAAATAAGATTTTTATTTTGGAGTTTTTGGCTAGTTTATTTGAATTTAGGAAAAATTGCACGTTTTTCAAAACTGCATTTTAGGGCCAAGAAAATGTTCGTCTTGTTCTAAATATTTTATTTAGGCGGTGAAATTTTTTTTTGGCATTTTTTGAATTTTTCTTAGTTTCGGCGGAATTGTTTTTAAAAAAAAGTACCGCGCACCCGACTAGGCCGAAGGCCTAGCCGAGCCAGGCCAGGCCCGCGCCCGCCGCCGCCTTCCCCACGGGACACCGCCCGCCGCCGCAGCCGAGTCTGGCCGGGGCATGCCTCCCGAGGCCGACCCCGACCTGGCGCCCCCTTCCCCAAGCCGCGCCACCCCCTCTCATAAATACCCCGCCGCCGCCGCCTCACACCGCCACCTCGACCCGCCCCACCTCCCGTAGCCGCCACACGCCGCCGCTTGCCGTGCCGCCCGCCGCCGACGCCGCCCCACCCCGCCGGAGCCCCGAGCCACCGCAGTCCGACGAGGTAGCCGCGCCGTTCGCCGCCAGTTTTCCAAAGAAAACCGATCCGGTTTTTTTGAAAGCCCTAGGTTTTTTTATTTTATTAGATCGGTTTTAACGGTTCTTTTATTTAGCGAGCGTTCGCTCGTTCGTTCATTTTAACGGACGAGTTCACCGTTTAGTTTCAGATAACAAACGTTCGTTCGTTAATCTGTTCGTCAGTTTTCTCTTTTTCTCGGATTTTTCCGCGATTATTTTTGATCGCGATTTCTGATCCGATTTTCGTTTTTGTTTAACTTTTCGCTCATTTATCGGAATCAGGCGATTGAAGCGCCTAGAGTTTCGTCTCGAAACCCTCTTTCCGTTTAACCAACTCAAACAAGTTTTTGCTTCTGTAAAATTTGACTTAGGTCCAGATTAGTAATCGAAGCTTGTTTTCTTTCGCCGTTTGAGTTTCGTTGTTTCGTTCCATTTGTTTCTTTTTTGCAAACCGGAGTTCTTAAGTTGAACTTTCTGGTTAGATCTGTTATTTGAGTTTTACCTGTGCATTAGATGAGTACTTATTGTATGCTTGTTTGTTTGTTTGCCTTAGAGTACCCGGAGTGCGCCGCTTGCTACTTCAAATCTCTAGGTTTCGCGGATCACCAGCAAGGCAAGTAACACTTTGATCATACCTCTTACTACCCAGTTTTATTGCATTAGATCAATCCTCAAACAATTGCATTGTTAGGATCTGAATAAATTGTGGGTTGGGAAGTAGATGAGGTAGCACCTATTACCTGTTTTATTATCAAACCCTGGGAGTTACTTCTACGTTTGCTTATGCCATGCTATGCTTGTAGATGTGGATTGGGTTTGAGTTTATCCATGACAGATGTCAGAATGTTAATTAATGGTTCAACTTAAGGTGGCAACTTTAATACACATCTGGGTGGATTGAGGCACCTAGGTATTCCAGCGATTGCCTGTTTTCTTTATGGACCGCCACCCAGGCTCAAAGGGATCATGAGATTATTCATACTAGAAACTTCCTTGTGCAGCCACAAGCTACTATGGGCTCTAGCATAGTTGATTAATTCGTGTGAACTCTTACAGTGGTAGACTAGCAGATGTAGGGGAAAGTAGGTGTAACGGTCTACCCGATCATAAGGTGCTAGTGCTTTTGAAAGACTATGTCTCGGTCATCTGTTTCTCAAACACCATGTAGTGCGAGAAATCCCAACGGAGGAGATCGAGTCTTGTGGGGAAAAGTGCGCAAACCTCTGCAGAGTGTATAAACTAATCATGATTAGTCGTGTCCCCGGTTATGGACGTCTTGAGTATCTAGTACTTGGATTATCATGTGAATCCCATCATGCGACTTTAATTAATTTTGTTGGGTTTTAATGATGATGTTTAATTGGGATTGAGAGGGTGTATACGCTCTCAATGTTTAACAACTACCATGATAGTTACATAAAATTTATTCCTTTGCAGTAGGGAAAAATTGGCTTTATGCAGAACTGTAACCATAGAGCTTTCCACCAGCCAAATATGCATGTAGTGATAGCATTATTCTGTTCTTGCTCTACTGTGTTACTTTGCCAGCATATTCCATGTGCTGACCCGTTTTCGGGCTGCAACATTCATGTTGCAGACTTTTCTGACGACGAGTAAGGAGCCTTAGGTCATGGTTCTATACTCAGTGATGCCGTTGGAGTTGATGGACTCACTTATCTTCCAAGCCTTCCGCTGTTATCGTTATTAGATGGCCTTAAGCCATATTATTTGTAATAAGTTCTCTTGTGAGACACTCAATGTAATAAGTGTGTGATTGCTACTCTGTTATAAATCCTTCAAGTACTGTGCGTGTCAGCATTACTGATCCAGGGATGACACTGATGCACATAGATCAGACTGTTTGAGGTCTGGTCGCTACAAGATGGTATCAGAGCACACACTGACTGTAGGATATGACCACTAAGATAAAGACCTAGATCACTATTCTCTTCTCATTTTTGACTTCTCATCTTTTCTACTCTTTTAGGATGGCGGATGCAAGGAACAAGTTCACACAACCGGATGAAGATACACCCTTTGGATGCCACCTGAAGTAAGTCACTAAGTACCTGAACATCGGAGTACCAAGCTTCACCGGGACCTACAACGCAACTTTACCCGAAGAGGAGCGCTGGATGATTCAAGTTCAAGTTCCAGGA